CGATCATTTCCTTCAGGCCAAAGCTATATTATTAAAACTGCTTTATATTTGAATACAAAATTCATGTGTGACTCCTGCTGCAAACCTAGCCTATTCTGAAACTTTCTCATTGGGTCATGCGGGTTCCCTGTGAGGTTAGAGCTTGGCAGTTTTGAAAGATGTGAGTGGACTCAATTATAACTCAGCTTTGATGTACCCGACCTTCATTGGTGTGCGGGCCCAGAACCCCAGTGAATTCAGGCTCCTGTGGGGAAGAGCCATCGATCAGCCTGGGAGTCGACTCCTCCTCCTCCTCTTCTTCCTGGGTCTCCTCCGGCTGTGGGGGTGGAGAGAAGAGCTCTCTGTTTCCCGAAGGCATCACTGTTGCTATTTTAATCTGAAAAAAAAAAAAAAAGCAAAATTTCATCAGGCAATCTCAATCACCCTAAGTGGCAGTGACACAAATTTAAAATGTACCCATCTATGCCACAAGAGGGCACTCCTGTTCTGAAGTTCAATAGTGTAACTGGATGCATGTTTGGTAGAGCACATATGGTTTTAGTAACTGTTATGGCTGTTTTTAATTAATCTTGTTTCTCGAATCTTAGAAATTGTTTCCAATGCCTTTTTTTCCTTTGATCTTCTTGCTCTTTTAACATGCTTGTTCATTTCATAGGTTTAAAAAAACTTCATTTATTGTTTTCTAATAACACATAGCATTACAAGAATGCATTACTGTTGTGAAAGATGCAAATTAATTTAGAAGTGTGCAGAGTAAAATCCAAAAGTCCTCTTTACCTGCAGCCCTAATTCTACTCCCCTTGAAGATGATAACTGATAAGAACTTGATGTGTATTTTTCTGTTCTTTTAATACTTTATTTCCTAGATTCAAATATTCTGTTTCTTCACAACTATTTACACTTCCTTTGATGGCATTTTATTGAAAGTATTCTTTCTACTAAAATAAAATATAGAGAGACATATAAACTATAAGACTTGATTATGGTCTTTCATTTCTCATATATTTTCAATATTATTTGAATAACAAATATTACCAACAATCCTTGGGCATGCTAATATTGACCTTTTTGAGAGTTTTGACAATAGTTTTTCTCATATATTTTCAATATTATTTGAATAACAAATATTACCAACAATCCTTGGGCATGCTAAAATTGACCTTTTTGAGAGTTTTGACAATAGTTTTGCATTTATAAAATTGCAAAAATATTAGAAGATTTTTTTCAGAGATTATACTTTAGATTATTGTTGCTTTTCTGTCTTCTTACTTGCATATTTTAAGCAATGAGTTGTGGTTATAAGAATACAGTTTGCATTTAGTAAAAGCCCTCACTCTCAGCTCCCTTCCTGTATCTCATGTCTACTCCTCTGTATTCCTTAATAAATGTCTACTTCCCTGATGATCTTGTAAGGTTGGGCTGGAAATATGTTCAACATCTAGGACCCATCCTTTTTGGTTCAGTGTCCTCATGGTATCTCCAGAAATTCCAGATTCTCCCTTGACCACACCAGTACATCCTCTTGCTCCTTTCTCCCCTTCTTTTTTATTTGCTTTCATTACAAAAGCAAAAACACACATAGATTACTTTCTAAATTACTTAATACCAAAATGATGTGCAAACAATTACTTTCATCTATAAAATAAGTACATAATTAGGCCAGATATTTTCTGAATTTTTGCATAACCATAAGATTTAAAAAATGCTTTTGATAGATTTGAATACATTGTCTCACACATGAGAATTATCCTTTTTAAGAAAGACTAAACTTTCTTTTGTCAATTTACTTCTCTGAATTGTGCCTCCCCCTGTGCTTTCAAAGAGTCTCTCTATAGCAGACTTATCTACACTACGTTCTATCGGTTCCATCAATTTTCTGTGCAACCAAGCCTACTCGATGGTAAACTCTGAGTTATGTCTTTTATCTTTGTACCTCTGGGCAGTAGTATAATAAATGATCAACAAGAACTTATTAAAGTATATATTTTTTAAAAAATTGTTTGTCCAAAATAGGTCTAATTCCCAGCTCTATGCTTAACTTTAGAGATTTGGCTGAGAAAAATCAATGAATGTGCTCTTGCTTGCTTTAAAGCATTTAAAGCAAGAAATCAAACCAAAAGCTGAATGTACTGTATTTATTAGGTACGTTAGGAGCCATACATGCAGATACTATAAAGCTTAACTAGAAATCTCCAGCTGAGAAGGTTGGGCACATTTCCTGAAACAGAGAGACATACGGTTTCCATCTGTAGGGTCAGAAGGAGGCAGATTCAGAAGAAACAGATTTTCAGAAAGACCAAAAGGAGGCTCCAGGAAGAGCGGAAATTGAGACAGATGTTTCATGGAATGGAGGCAGCCTAAAGGGAGAAACACATTCCAGACACGTTGCCTTGAATCTTTTGCTTAGTAGGAAAAATGTTTGCACATACGTTTTACAGATAATTGTTTTTCCACTGATTTGATGTGAAGTTGTAAGATCTCACTTGCCATTCAATATAATGAGGCAAAATAGCTTTTGTGTTTATCAGAAATTGTTTTTTTCATGCTTACTTGTGAATAAAATGTGAATGCTGAACAACTTTTAAAACCAAGGAAAAGGAATGTTTTTTCAGTTCAGCAAAATTACAGAACTGTAAACTCAAAGTACTGTGCCTGGAGGGGCTTCTGCATGGTAGGCACATTTATTCTCACTAATAGAAGTAATTTATGCTTCTGTCTTTTTCCCTCTTTTAACAGTCTTTGTACTGTGATTTGAAGTTGTGATGCAATGCAGGCAAGAGATGAAGCCAGGGAAACATGACCACCTGGCTCTTCGTGTGGCAGACATTTATGCTTATGGTGCAGAAACCTAAGTTTGGACATAAATGCAAATGGTCAAAAAGCATCTCTGCCTCCTTTTCTCAAGCTACGATTGGTAGTACTCAAATGCAAATATAATTGAGCCTCCTATATATATTCATTAATTCTACCAGAGTTTTCCTCCATTCTTTTTCGTTTCTCTGATTTACTTCCTACTGAATCGACTTAATCTGTTGATTGTATTTCCCTAAAGTTTAAAAACATCATAGATCATTACCACATATGACTTTGATCTTAGTCATCACTGCACTTGCATATCTTCTTGCCTAGTACAGTTACATTCTTGAATTGATTGTTTTGAAGTAAGTTATCTATTTCTATTCTCTTGTTTACCTGGACTTAGAACTGTAGATAATTTATGTCATGGTAGACTGTGCTTAGGAGTCCATTCTGTGTCAATGAAAGAGTATATTTATACCAGAGATGACAAATGCATAACCTACAGACAGTGACCAGGGTAGAGTGATGCCTGAGCAAATGTCAGCCTGGAGAGATAACTGCCAAAAAAGTCTCCTTAGGCCTGTGCTGTGGATTGAATTGTGTCCCTCAAAGTCCATGTATTGAAGTTTAATCCCCACTGTAACCGTTGAGGGTGGGAGATCCTATAATGGTAATTGAGAACTAGGGCCTTGAAGAGGCAATTAGATTGTGAGAAATATGCCCAAGTGAATGGATTATTCCATTAGATGGTTTAATGGCAGTCATGCATGTGGTTCAGAGAGCTTTAAAAGAAGAGCACATGAGGAGCTCTCTCTCTCTTCTTCCTGGCTTTTTCCCAATGTGATACCCTATGTCACCACCAAAGAAGATCCTTACCCAATGCGTTCCCTGGTCTCTGGACTTCCCAGCCTCCAAAACTGTAAGGGATAACTTTCATTTCCTTACAAATTATCCAGTTCCAAATATTTTGTTATAAGAAACAGAAACAGACTAATACAGCCTGCCTCAGCCTCTGCACTCTGCACAGTCTTGACTCCTTGTAAGCAGCACAGCACCCCGGTACAATGTCAGGATAAAGGGGACTGAACTGACCTAAAGTTTCAGCTCCCTGGAGAAATAAAAGACTCTCAATAGAAAATAATCCAGTTACATTACTTATATCAGATTGTACTGAACTTTTTACCAGCAATATTTATGTTGTTATTGGTAATACCACGATATATTTAAGACTTTCTTTAATTTTTTGATAATCAGCAGAGTTTTTCATAGAAGAGTCATTCTGTAAAAGTGGTCAGCACCATTTTTAGTGACAATATTTGGTTAAAAATAATTTTGATCAAATCCATTTGTCCCTACCACGATATATTTAAGACTTTCTTTAATTTTTTGATAATCAGCAGAGTTTTTCATAGAAGAATCATTCTGTAAAAGTGGTCAGCACCATTTTTAGTGACAATATTTGGTTAAAAATAATTTTGATCAAATCCATTTGTCCCTTAGCAAAAACACCTCTAAATTATCCATATAACTATGTTGCTGCCATTAAGCCTACTTAATTTATTTATCTTAATTTCAGAGTAAAAATATGAAAACTTGTGTGTTCAAAAACAGCACCCAGACTTCTTCCTCATTACTTCATTTGCCACAGAGTTTCTTTCATATAGACTTCTTTTTGACCATGCTGATCATATGTATTTATGGTGGTCACAAACCATTTGCTGCCATTCAGCATTGTATTTGAATTAATAAAACTCAATGTGCTTTTTTTTTATATTTTGAGCAGAGTTTTTCATAGAAGAATCATTCTGTAAAAGTGGTCAGCACCATTTTTAGTGACAATATTTGGTTAAAAATAATTTTGATCAAATCCATTTGTCCCCTAGCAAAAACACCTCTAAATTATCCATATAACTATGTTGCTGCCATTAAGCCTACTTAATTTATTTATCTTAATTTCAGAGTAAAAATATGAAAACTTGTGTGTTCAAAAACAGCACCCAGACTTCTTCCTCATTACTTCATTTGCCACAGAGTTTTTTTCATATAGACTTCTTGTTGACCATGCTGATCATATGTATTTATGGTGGTCACAAACCATTTGCTGCCATTCAGCATTATATTTGAATTAATAAAACTCAATGTGCGTTTTTTTTATATTTTGATTTTTTTTTTTTAAATCTCAGCACTTAATCTGCAGCTAAATTTCCAATGAGGAACTCAGTGAANTCTCATATATTTTCAATATTATTTGAATAACAAATATTACCAACAATCCTTGGGCATGCTAAAATTGACCTTTTTGAGAGTTTTGACAATAGGAGGCATTTATAAAATTGCAAAAATATTAGAAGATTTTTTTCAGAGATTATACTTTAGATTATTGTTGCTTTTCTGTCTTCTTACTTGCATATTTTAAGCAATGAGTTGTGGTTATAAGAATACAGTTTGCATTTAGTAAAAGCCCTCACTCTCAGCTCCCTTCCTGTATCTCATGTCTACTCCTCTGTATTCCTTAATAAATGTCTACTTCCCTGATGATCTTGTAAGGTTGGGCTGGAAATATGTTCAACATCTAGG